AGTTTTAAGATCGATCTATAGTCAGATTAATGACTTCACTGGTCCTCTGATGGCAACAAATATGTATCGTACACACACTCATGCAGGAAAACAGCACTGCCCAACATTTGCTATTTGCTTGGCTACCTTGGATTCTGATACCATCCATGGCCCAAAAACATCTAAACCAACGTGAGTGAAAGGCGGGTCAGTACTTAACCTGTAAGCTGGCAAATCTGATATTTGCTGTTGCTGATGTGTGCCTCTTAGTTTACAGCATTGGACACAGTTGTGCAGTATAGCTGCAATCTGTATATTTTCTCCAACAATCCAAAAGCCTGCAGCTCTTATGGTTCCCTCTCTGAAATGCCTACCTTGGTCCTTAACCTTATCATGGTAGTGCCGTATGAGCAAGGTGGAGAGATGATGGCGACCAGGTATAATAAGAGGATTCTGTTCCTAGTCTCCCAACTTAGCATTGTTTAAACATCCACCAACCCTTAGCATGCCAGGACTGTCAATGAATGGGTTCAGCTTAGCAATTGGACTGCTTTTTGAAATGCCCTGCTTGTCATGGATACATTTCATTTCTGTGCTAAAGACATTCTGTTGTTCACTGCGTATTATGATCAGTTCGCTTTCGGCAATGTCCTTTGCAGAAAGAGGTTTTTGGCATAAGTGCCAGCCTTGACAGTCAGCATCATTAGACTTAGTGTGATAGCATTGAGCAATATGGATCAACCTTGCAATAGTGCATACAAGCCTTGCCCACTTCTAGATCTAGAAAACTAAAAACCTCAGCTGTAGTTTCTTCTGTATGATCCAGCAGAAATTCAGGTCCTGTTAACCAAGAAGAATTTGCAAATACACTTGCAGACACTGGCCTGGTGGCATGATCTACAGGATAAACTCTGATGAAACACGATGTCATTGTTCAGACCTTAAGAATTCTCTTATTCTTTCTACAAGGTTGCTGACATAGACATATAATATATGTATATTGTATATGTGGCTAGTGGTGTATTTAGGCTTTGTGCTGCCCTAGGCAACACAAAAATCAGATGCCTCCCCTCCCTGGCAGAGAGAGAATCTGACACCGACCAACACCAGACTACCCCTTCATCCCCCATGGAGAGAACCTGACAGTAACAAATGTAGTATGGCTCATATTCCTTCTGATGATGTACGTGTGATACGAAACGCACGTCAAGGAGGAGCCCCTGCTAGCCGTGACGTCAAGCCGCCGGATCAAGGAGGTCCGGCGGCCACTCTTCTATACCAGCTGGTCAGTGTGTATTTCATGACATCCTTTGTGCACAAGGATTGATTTTACTTTCATACTCATGTTAAGTGTTTCTTGCTATAATATTCAATAAATCCGTTTTAAATTTGATTTAAATACTACACTATGGGTATTCCTTTTTGCTCCACATCGAGCATTTAATCCCTCAGGACCACCAGGCGACTACCCCAAGGCCCAGAGTAATATTCAGCTGATCCTGTTTAGAGCCTGGTCTACCATAAGGAACCCCCAGATGTGTTACCCCCATCATGGAATCACCTGTTCAAAGCTTCCTTCCATCTACAGCCGGAGTGATCCTTGGTGTATGAGATATAAACGCACAATTTAATTGTGCTTCCGGTGAGTGCGCAATTTATTCATTTTTTTCTGCACAACGCCGGACTATATGCATCACAAGGATCTTATCAAGATACATCTATCTGTGCTTTTTTGATTACTAGACTATTATTGGACTATATTGTGCATTCATATTGTGCGTTTTTTTTTGCGTTTTTGAAGCCGTGTGGAGTACACGTCATTACTTCCTTTTTTCACTTGTTGGGAAGGTCACATACAATATATGCGGCCTACAGCAGTTGACATTAGATTAAGGGATATTGCACCACCTTAAATACTGGTGCAGTCATATATCATCTAGCGCTGCACTATTTATCTTAGAGTAACAAACAACACCCCTGGCCCATCCTCCGAGAGAGCCTTCCACTAACACCCACTCTCCCCCACCTCCAGAGGGGGTCAGAGAGAAAGACACTCACCTTCACAGCTCTGGACATCCCCAGGAATGACAGTTGGGCTCTGCATACACCATCAAGCAGCCCACAGCCTCTCTCGGATCCCACCTAGTCCCCATGCTGCATATGTCCCTTCTTCCAGGGGTCAGTGCTGCCTTGTTTGTCTTGTGGCAAATACACCCCTGTATGTAGCCCCAAAACAACTTTTCTGTCTGTGTAGAATTTGACGTAATCTATCTGAATGTCTAGCTCATGCAGTATAAAATCTTCAATTTCAACGGCTAGCACAGTCTAACAAAGTTCAAGCCTGGGAATTGTGTGCTCTGGCTTAGGTGCTAACTTAGCTTTTGCCAAACAGAAACCCTACAAAGATTTGATTGAGAGAGTCTCTTACCTTGAGGCAGGCAACATTTACATCCTGTTGCATGATCACCAGCTTGAAAGGCTTCATCACAGTAGCACTGTTTGAAGCAATCTTATTGAGTCTGAGGTTGGCCTCAGAAAGCATACTTTGATGCAGGTATATGGCTTCTTCATCTGTAGGTAAAGATTTGATTCAGTCTTCCATGTAGAAGTGTCTCTCAATGAAGTGTTGATCATCTGCACCATACTCCTTTTCACCATCAAGAGCAGTCCTTCGTAGACCATATGTTGCAACAGCAGGTGTGGGACTGTTTCCAAAGACATGTACTATCATGTGGTATTCAAACACGTTATTGTTTATATTGACGTCATGGTGCCACAGAAACCTAAGGAAGTTCCTATGGTCTTCTCTTACTAAAAACCAAGGGTCTTCAAACTTTCTATACAAAGGGCCAGTTTACTGTCCTTCAAACTTTAGACTGTGGCCAGCAAGAGTAGAAAATGTATTGTGTCAGTGGAAGTAAACAGTGTCCTCTTTTCGGTATTAGGGGGAGGAATAGTGTCCCATTGTTGGTGTCAGTGAGAGGAATAATGCCCTATTATAGGTGTCAAGGGCAGGAACTATGCTCCATTGTTGATGACAGTGGGGCTGCATCCGGCCCCTGGGCTGCAGTTTGGAGACCACTGCTATAAACCAATGGAACATTTGTTCAATGTCAGCAGTTATGGAAACGGGCTCTCTTCTGAACCTCATAACTACTCCTATAAGTTTGAGAAACAAATCATTCAGGGATACGCCCTGATGCTTGGCACTGGAGTTAAATACTACCCTGATTTGTTTTGGTTGGATGATACACTCTGAAGAAAGTCAGATACCAGCACTTGTCATGTTCTAGAAGAGGTACAGCTGGCTCAGCATGATCATTGTCAAAGATTTTTTTCATAAAGGCAATGAAATGGTCCTTCATTTCAGGCCTGTTCTTTAGTGTTCGCTGAAGAGAGTTGAATCTGGATAAAGCTTGTTCATGATTGTTTGAAAGTCTTACTTTTGTTTCACGAAGAAGGAATGGTGCAACCCAGCTGTTAAATTTATCTTTGAAGAATTCATCATCCTTTTTTGTGATGAACTCTCTATCTTCAACTAACAAGGCTATTCTGTTTTCATCACGTGTAGTACAAAACACTGTACCAGGGGTAGACTGACAACTCATGGGGCCCTGGGGCAATAGGGGATCACGGGGCCCCTTTGTCTTTGCCCACACTCAAAGCATGCCCAAAAAGGCCTACAAAAAGGTACTAGGGGCATTTTATGTGGCCCCCTACTGACCCCGGGCCCTCGGGCAGTGCCCGAGTGCTCGAATGGTCAGTCCGCCCCTGCACTGTACTACCTAAGTTGCCATGACAGAGGATGGAAGTAACATCAGATACCTGGATGATGTCAAGAGGCTTCTCCTTTACTTCATAATAATGAGGGCATTGTCTGAGGTTAGATGCACACCCATTTCTTAACACGTGAGTTTTAAAGGAGTTGATCACAATTGGCGCGCGCATTCTATTCAAGTATACATCACCAAACTATTACCCAGCCTAGATTAAGTCTTTGTGCATATGGGGGGCCAGCAGATCCATTACACTGCTGCCGTATTTTATGTACTCTGAGAATGTCTCTTCCCCGCAAGATTAAGATTTCAGCATCCATGCCCATTGGAGGAATCTCAGTAACCAGGTGCCTTAATTGGGGATGGTGATGCACAGTTTCTGGAGTAGGAACTTATGTTGAGAGTGTATGGTGTTGCATGTCCCTTTATACCAAGAATCTCAAAGAGTTTAGGTTTAACCAGGGATCTGTTGCTCTGCTCATCTATCATGGCATACATCCTATTAGCTTTCCTTTGGATATATTTTGACTTGACATACAGTACCTTAACATAGCATTTGTGGTTTAATCCTTGTCCACAGAAGTACATGAAGAGGAAACATTTGTTGTGCCTGGAGCATGGCTTTGTTGCTCTCTGCCATGATTTGAAGCAGTGCTCGATGTAAATGGCTGCTATGGATTTTCTCGAAGTGGAGCAGGATGCATAGTTGTAACATATTTGTCACAAATGAAGTCTGTGCATGAGATGACAACTTTACAATTTTTAGCAAAATGGTCATAGGAAACACAACACTTATGGCATATTCTACAGTCTTTGCCCTAAGCCCACGTCATTTCTTAAGAGGGTGAGGTTTTTTATTAACTAGTTGCCGACCGCAGATAGCCGAATGACGGCTTCACTGCGGCCGGCCAGTTCTGGGTGGACGTCATATGACGTCCCCCCAGAACGCGCTCTCCTGCGTGCCCCAGGGGGCGCGCACCCGGCGATCTCCGTGATCGCTGTGTCCTACGGACACAGCTGATCACGAGATGTGGTAAAAGGCCGATCATACCGGCCTTTTACCACGTGATCAGCGGTGTCCAATGACCCTCTGATCACAGGGAAATGCAAGTGCCGGTTCTCGGCTGCACTTTCCTCACGCTGTCAGATCGTGAGGAAAGTACTGCCGAGAACCGGCAGTTGTCAGAGCGAGGATCGGCACCGATCATCAGGGCCACTGATGATCAGTGCCCTGATGATCGGTGCCCAGCAGTGCCACCCACAAGTTCCGCCCACCTGTGCCCAGCAGTGCGCCCACTAGCTCCGCCACCTGTGCCCAGCAGTGCACCCACCTGTGCCCAGCAGTGCACCCACCTGTGCCACTCTGCAGTGTCACACACCCTGTGCCCAGAAGTGCCACCTACCTGTGCCCAGCAGTGCCACCCACCTGTGCCCACCCACCTGTGCCCACCAGTGCCACCCACCTGTGCCACCCACCTGTGCCCACCCACCAGTGCAGCCCAGCAGTGCTGCCAGTCAGTGCCACCAGTCAGTGCCCAGGGGTTGTGCCAGTCAGTGCCCAGCAGTGATGCCAGTCAGTGCCATCTATCAGTACCCATCATCAGTGTCACCTATCAGTGCCGCCTATCAGTGCTGCATATTAGTGCCGCCTATCCGTGACACCTCATTAGTGCTGCCTATCAGTGCTGCCTATCCGTGCCACCTCATTAGTACTGCCTATCAGTGCCCTTTAGTGCTGCCTATCAGTGCCCATCAGTGCCGCCTATCAGTGCCCATCAGTGCTGCCTCATCAACGCACATCAGTGAAGGAGAAAAAATACCTGTTTGAAAAATTTTATAATAGAAACAAAGAAACTTTTTTTTTTTTCAAATTTTTTGCACTTTTTTAATTTATAGCGCAAAAAAAGTAAAGTGCCCAGTGGCGATTAAATACCACCAAAAGAAAGCTCTATTTGTGAGAAAAAAATGATCAAAATTTCATATGGGTACAATGTTGCATGACCGCGCAATTGTCAATCAAAGTGCGGCAGCGCTGAAAGCTGAAAATTGGCCTGGTAAGGAAGGGGGTATAAGTGCCTGGTAGGAAAGTGGTTAATAGGGCACTGACGATTAGGATCTTTATCTCTATCATTCAAATCACTCTGGTGAGCAGGAGAAGATTTGGGACTTGAGATGTCTATCTTTTTAGCAGATACTGCTCTATTTAGGTCTCCATGTTTAGCTGCCCTGTTATCATATCTTGATGATGATGAAGCAGGCAAGCTAGATTCACTGAAGTTGAAGCTGGGATCATTTCTCGTCCAGGCTTGTTCACTGATGAACCTGCAAAAATACGAGAATGAGGAAAAGATGCATTATAGTTTCTTTTATATTTTGAGCCCTTTTGTGCCCATTTCTCTTGCAAGTTGTATGGCAGTTTAGACACCATTGGATTCATGCCATGAGTGGTGTCCAGATAGGTTTGTCCAGGTAGACGAGGGTCTGCCTTTGTCAACTCTACCTCCGTGAGGAAGTTGCTTAGTTCTTGAAGCTTTTGATGATCTTTGTTACCAAATTTTGGAAAGTTTTGCAGTCTTTTGAATAGAGCACTTTCTATGGCTTTAGGGCTACCATAGGTTTGTTCAAGTCTTTCCCATGCAGTACATATTCACTGCTGTGTTCAACTGGATCTTCCAGTTCTGCTGGAATAGAACAGTCCAAATTAATATGTTCTTTCATTGCTTGTTCATGGACCGTAAGCCAGGGCAGCTGCTTCCTCCCTTTCCGTTTGCAGAATCTATATTTGGGACTCCGCCTTTGCTTGGTGAGCTTTGCTCTGAGCTTCTATTTCAGCTTTCTTTCTGGGAAAGGAGCTTTGCACTTTATTTGCTTCCAGACTAGCGCAGGCCTCTATTAACTTGCAGCTTAATGTGAGCTTCTATATGTATGTATGTCTAGACATTTTTCAAGTTTGCAAAAATGGTTACTGTCTCTTTAAGAAGACAAACACCAGCTTAGACAGGTGGGATAATATAATCCAATGCAGAGAAACAGTTTTCAACATTCACAGATGAAATGCAGTAAGCTTGTGCGACCATTTACTTTCCCAAGATGATTGCAGATTGGACACATACATGTACACAGCAGACTGTATGAATTCTAGCATGTTTTCAGTTTGACTATTCTGACTCCAACTGTTGTATTAGCAGCTTATCACTTGCTGAGACCTCTATGCCTGGCCTGTATAAGCAGATACAATCACTGCGGACAGTCTTTGTCAGATAGCTGAACTCACCAAACACCTTTTTGTCATCCATAAAGATCTTTATTGAATGCAGCAGGTTACAGCAAACAACAGGATGTGGCAGATGATTAAAAAGACGATATTTGCAGGTCAAAACATGGTAATGTGTTTCCCCATGCAAGCAGATTAGCATCTGGTCATGAAACAAGCAGCATTTGTTATCCACAAAGGCAATTTGAGAAGGAAGAGGAAATACATCAAAAAATGGGAGGGAACTCAGAAAAGGATGGTGCAATAACCAAAATGACCACAAGATGGCATTATATTAACCAACTATACTGAGGTCAACAAACAATGGCTGAAGGAAATTACCTATATAAATTCTCAATTCACAGTAGTATGAAAAATTAACCATGACTATGATTTGTATTATATTTTAATACAAGTTTAACAGCACAAATACTGTGATTAGTATATTTGCCTCTAGGTGTTAGTATTTTAATGCAATGTTCTTTCTTTTTGATCTACATGGTTATGATGCAATTTCCTATCTCCAACAAAATCTTGATTGCAGCAGCTTTCAACCAGGTGTTGGACCCAGCTACAGCCAAAGTACTAAACATCGCTACAAATACAGACACAGCTCAGAGCTACAGCAAAACGGTCTCTGAAAAATAGAAAGATCAGAAAGTATATATTATTGTTGCTAATAGTGCTTCTTCAAAGTTTCCAGTTGCTATTCTGACAAAGCAAAAATAATAGTCCTGAAAATGTAAAATGAAGATACTGATGAGAAGAAAAAGTACATAGAAGTGTATGCCAAACCCCTAACAAATCCACCTACAGATATGTGGACAGAGAAGGATACAAAAGCTCAAAGTACTATATCCCTGATCATGGAGGATGATCAAATTATGCACATTTGAAAGTAAAAAGTTGCAATATAAAAGAGAGCAAATCTTAGCAATAAACTGCAATCAATTAGAAAACTATACCAGACTAATCTAAAGAAAGGCTAACACAAACATGACTATACAAGTTGTACTTTAGAAATGGTGGAAGAAGAAATAAAATACTTTCATATAGCGGCACAGATTCTCAGTGGTCTCCAGCTATTAGACACTTGTTACAAACAAGTTGTGCATACTTGCACATTATGGAAAAAACTAAGATTTACTTTGGGTTTACTATTTTAAAAAAAGTTACATAAATCTGGAACTACGATCTGAACATCCAAAGGATGAAGCAATCATTTTGCAATCAAATAATCAATACTTATAATATATACATATGATCCATTTGTTTACAAGTAAAAACATGTTTTCAGTTTTTCAGTAAGTGTAAAGCAGAGAAAAGTTCAGGAATGTGTTTGATCACAATGTCATTCTCTGTAAACTGCAGAATAGTTGAAAACTAGTCTGTGTTTTCCTGCAGTGTTCCCCCATCCGTGTTTAACATTCTGCAGCCAATTTCTCCCTGGGAAAACAAAAAACCTGGAACGGCAAAGACAGATAGAATTAATGTGACAAAGATTAGTGAAAAACATTCCTACCCCCTAAAGAGATGGCAGATAGCCTAGAATATGAGTGGAGATTAGGGAGGAAATATTCTGAGCAGGGGATCTCCATTTGAGGTTTGGGCCAGACTGTTATAAGGGTGGGGATACCCACAATACCTAAAGAAGGAGGCCAGCAGGAGACAAGCAATTGGGGGCAAAGCCAGCAGTCTTTTGCTGTTTAGGAGTCTGTGATATAGAATCCATTTGGGCTGGACCCAGATTTGCCATTCCTTTTGCAAACTGATCTATTGCTGGCCAAACAAGTACGGAAATGTTTAACCTTTCTGATTTGTGCCAATTGGATTATTTTAAGTGAAATAAGTAGAAAAGGGAGACACTATTTGTTTGCCGAAAATTTGGTATTGAAGAATAACATATACTACTGCCATAGGTGTGCATAAATGTGATATTCCATGCTGCCTCCATCCATACTCTTGGCGGTACCCACAGTATATAAATGTAATGGTGAAGATTAAGAGAGCAATGCTTCAGGAAGGACGGTGACTTCTCCAAATAGAGACTGTCTACAACTTGACCATAGAGAAACTGGAGATGAGTTCAGGACTTAAGCAGGCTTGTAACTTTTCCACAAGAGGTGTGTTGGCATAGCAATGACCTGGTGTATTGAAGTTATAGAAACAACATGTTCTCATAAAGATAGGGTAGACAATGACTTCAGCATCCTAGATAGAATGAAAACAAGTTTGCCTTCTTCTCTCATTCCCACACACTCATTCTCATTGAAATGAAAAATAATTTTAAGAAAAATGAGCTTAACAATCTATTAATTGTATGGTATTCCATTTAGCTCTGATGAAAAGGTGCAAAGCTCTAGAAATGTGTTGGCATTTGCAAGTTGTAAATCTCGTAAAATGTCCTTGAAGGTAAGGATGCTAACATTTTTTCTGCTAAGTAACCCAACAGGTCAGTTTTGAAAGGTTCACACTCTTTTTGACACTGCTTCCAAAAAGTTTAAAGGGGGGGGGGGGGAAGGGGGGGGGGGGGGGTGGGGGGGGGGGGGGGGGGGGGGGGGGGGGGGAAGGGGGAAAGGAAGGGGGGGGGGTGGGGGGGGGGAAGGGGGGGGGGGGGGGGGGGGGAAGGAAGGAAGGGGGGAGGGGGGGGGGGGGGAGGGGGTAAGGGGGGGGGGGGGGGGGGGGGGGGGGGGGGGGAAGGGGGGGGGGGGGGGGGGGGGGGGGGGGGGGGGGGGGGGGGGGGGGGGGGGGGGGGGGGGGGGGGGGGGGGGGGGGGGGGGGGGGGGGGGGGGGGGGGGGGGGGGGGGGGGGGGGGGGGGGGGGGGGGAGGGGGGGGGGGGGGGGGGGGGGGGGGGGGGGGGGGGGGGGGGGGGGGGGGGGGGGGGGGGGGGGGGGGAGGGGGGGGGGGGGGGGGGGGGGGGGGGAAGGGGGGGGGGGGGGGGGGGGGGGGGGGGGGGGGGGGGGGGGGGGGGGGGGGGGAGGGGGGGGGGGGGGGGGGGGGGGGGGGGGGGGGGGGGGGGGGGGGGGGGGGGGGGGGAAGGAGGGGGGGGGGGGATGGGGGGGGGGGGGGGGGGGGGGGGAGGGGGGGGGGGGGGGGGGGGTGGGGGGGGGGGGGGGGGGGGGGGGGGGGGGGGGGGGGGGGGGGAGGGGGGGGGGGGGGGGGGGGGGGGGGGGGGAGGGAAGGGGGGTGGGGAGGGGGGGGGGGGGGGGGGGGGGGGGGGGGGAGGGGGGGGGGAAGGGGGGGGTGGGGGGGGGGGGGGGGGGGGGGGGGGGGGGGGGGGGGGGGGGGGGATGGGGGGGGGGGGGGGGGGGGGGGGGGGGGGGGGGGGGGTGGGGGGGGGGGGGGGGGGGGGGGGGGGGGGGGGAAATAGGGGGGGGGGGGGGGGGGGGGGGGGGGGGAGGGGGGGGGGGGGGGGGGGGGGGGGGGGGGGGG